ACCAGACGTGCGCGTCATAGAGAACCATCGTGGGCCGAATAGGGGTCTTATCCGCCCCCGTCCTTTATCACCAGATACAGATTATCGTTTAGCTACAACATTTAAACGAAGATATCTTTCAAATAATGATTTGACTTCATCAGTTGGATACACAGAAACGATTCGAACTTTAAAACAATCTTTGAATGCAGCAAATTTACTTTATGGACATTTTCTTCTTTATTTTTTATCTTACCTTTTACTGTTCAGTTTCTTCTTTATTTGATAGAATACAAAAGTATGTTTGAGCGAGCAGAAAAATGACTTTCTTCTCAGACAGTAGAACATTCATGTTTATTGATGAATCTGTCGATAAATATAGTCTCAGCACTAGCAGTGATTCTATTTTGATAATTTTCATCATTGAAATCATTGACTGGCAACCAACTCAGAGGTTGCCCAATTTCACCCGAAAAAATCACCTCTGTAAATGAAAATGATGATCACCATATCCAAGTAACACATACATTCTATAGGAATAGCCCACATTGAAAATGGTATTCCCTAGACTGAAAGGATAGGTTCTGTGTGTGTGAGTGCTTTTATTTTGATCAGAAATCATGATTATAGGAAACTCGACAATGAGTCCCGATTTCCAATCTCTTTCGCGTGCTTTTCTCAGTTCGTTCTTAGTGTTATTTGTTCAGCAGGTTCAATAAACGATCCAGATAGCATTTCCGTCGTTCTGCCACACGAGGGTTCATCCACTCACGAATATATCTGTTGAATCTTCCGCGAGGTAGAGCATCGATGAACGCTTCTTCTTCGATGTACATTCGGAGATACATAGGCATGGCTTTGCTGAGAATGCAGTCTTCGAACAGTTCAGGTGAGATCTTTTCAGCTTTATCGAGGAATCGACGAAGGAAGCGCTGTGCTTTTGATTCTGCTGTTTGGTAGTTTGGTAGCCATTGCACTTCGTCATTGGTTGCATCCCACCAATTGTGAATGAGACGAGACAATTGTCAATTTTTCGCTTCGAATTTTTCAATTGAAATGATCGACAACATTGGTCAGACCACGTATATCATTTGCAGATAAGGATAAATGCAGGCTTGAGAGATGAGGTTTCTCGCTCTTGCTGATGATGTTCTCGATCGAGTGACGTATTTGAGGATTCCAGAGTTCTTTTGGACTTCTTGGGGCATCCTCTTGCAATTTTCATTGAATGAGAGACGTTCATCAACGTGATAGCCAAGGTATTTGTGCACGGCTGTTCTCTTGATGGGATGTTGACCGATCGAGAGAGAGAGGGTTAGAATGGACACTCGTCGATGTATCCATTGCCATTCGGTCTTGCAGAAACTGATCGGCTGTTTCCACTCGGCGGCATAGGCTTGGAATTGATTCAATGCTTGCTAGCTTATTCGTTCCATTTGAGGTACGAATTCAGTTCGATGCCGCCATGGAGAGGCATGGATGATCAGTGTAAGGTCATCCGCCAACAGATGACAATGCATAGCTTTCCCGATATCGAAGATGGCCGAGGTGACTCAGCTGATTTCGATGTAACACTTTCGGTTCTTCACGTATTCGATCGTGAAGATCACCAGTTCTTGTGGACAGTTCATTCGATGCAGTTTATAAAGCAAACCGTCATGCCACAGTTGATCGAATGCCTTGGTGAAATCCACGTAGATGACGAGAGAAGCGGTTTGTTGTAGGAGGCCAGTGCTGAGGTGCTGCAGAAACTGCACGAATCTCGTTGTGGTTGAGTGGTGCTCGCGAAAACCCGATCGTTCTGGTGGAAGAACGGCATTGCCTTTCATCCATTTGCGAAGATAGACGAGGAAGCATCGTTCGTAGACTTTGCCAAGGCACGGCAGAAGAGAAATTGGTCGCGTTTGATTCACAGAGAGAGTTGCTATCTTCTCCTTTGGCAGGAGTATCATCTTCGACAGTTTTCAATGCTGTGGATAGGTGTTCTCGATGAGTAGCGCATTGGATGTTTGGAGGATGAAGCCGTAGTGTGAGACTGGAATCAATTTGAGCAGCTTGTTCGACACCTTCTCATGACCACTCGATGTTTTCGTTTTCAGTCGGCGAATAGACCGATGCAGATCATTGATGCTGAACACGAACGGTTTTGATGGAAGTTCGGCTAGTTTTTTATCTAGATGTTTCTTGAATTCGGCCACGTCTTGATTCTGAGAGAGGGCTTTCTTTTCTCTGAAAGTCTACGAGTAATATTGACAAGCATGTTCAATCATGGCATCGACATTGGTTATCACTCGATGGTTTCGCTCATCTAGAAACCCTTGAATTGGAGTTACTCGTTGCTTGAAAAGCTTTTTCGAGTGGTTCCAAAAGCGTTGCGTATTTTTCGGCTCGAGTCCGAGGCAAAAGTCTTGCCATTGAGCTCGCTTGACCGCTCTCATTTCACGATGAATGTACTTGTGCAGAGAATAAACAGAATTTCGATGCGCTTCTAGTCGAGTAGATCGATAGAGGCAAAGAATCCTGCGTCTCTGCTTGATAATATTCACCCAATAGGGAGATAGACTGGGTGATGTGATAGGTGGTGCATCTTTCTTGTAAGGCCACAAGGAATGCCTCGTAAACGAGAATGAACTCGATCGATTGATGCCTCATCTGTGCTGAGAGAGTGAAGAAGAAACTCTGTTTGAGATTGAGTATGCAATTTAGCACCATCCAGCCGATTTTTTTCACTTTGTACTCAATGCTGCTGTGCGAATTGAATGATGATAGGCGCCAATGCACTGGATAGTGATCGGCGACGCGCATTTTCTGATCGATTTCAGCAAAGTCGGATGAGACATGAGAAGGCGCGACGATGAGATCAATAACAGCTCGAGATCGAGTTTGTTAGGATACAACCGAACTAACGATTTTATTCCACACTCTCGAACAACTAACTACCGAGATCCCGAACCACGAAAGAGACATAGATATGACCAATGGGAGAACAGAGAGAAGAGACTAGAAAAGGGAGGCACTAGACAAGAGATACCGCCAGCACTACCTAACAGAGTTGATGTTGGCTTTGCCGAATTGAAGCTTTTCATATTCTGCTTTTCGTCGATCCATTCGGCAAGTCGGTGACCACACGAATTATTGGTTACATCATGCCGATTGGGATGTCTCGCATTCAGATCACCGATCAGTATTAAATTTCGATTGTACTGATGCAATTGATTGAGAATATCAATCAGCACTTCTTCCGATGGTGGAGAATAGACAACAGCCACTGTGTATTTTCTATTGGATTTGAATACATTGGCAGCGATGAGATTATTGATGTTATTGAGTTCCGACGCGATTCGGTGAGGAACTTCTCATGCAATAGCGAGACTCGAAGTACGAGGCGAGGTGATATTTGGCGTCATCACCGATGTGTAGTCCAGTGAGTGCCTATATGTTTGGATAGGACTCCGAAATGTAACCAATAAGATCTTCCAGATGCATTCGCTGACTACTGATGTTGTAGAGTAACAGTGAGAACCCATTTCGCTGAATGCTCCGATTTTCATGCTTGATCGACGATTCGCGAGTCAGAGTTATATATTTTATTGCTTTTTATGTTGAAGGAGGCCTGGTGTTTTGGTCCTCACTCTCGTGGGTCATAGACGAACTGCGTCCCTGCGACCATGTGGGGGAAGAGAAGAAGGAGATAGAGGAGAAAGATGGGGGAAGAAAAACCATACAGATTATTGACATTAAAGGAAATTCGCTTAGGACTCGTAGGTTACGATTCGAAGAAAGTAGAATGCAAAAATACACATAAGAGTAGAGAAGTGACGCGAGGTAACAGGAGTGCTTAGATGCAGACAAGCGAAGATGGATGAGGGGGACAGGGCATCAAGAACACAGACCAAATGAAATGAAATGTGATAACTCATTTGCAACGTATGAGTTAGGTTGTACAGCAGGATGTAGAAGGTTCATGAGAAGGGTGCATTGCAGAACACACCGGTAAGACTGAAAGACGTTTTGTACATAGATGTATACTCTTAGAACCCGAGGGCTCGATCCAGGAGGGTTGGTCGCGGTTTGTTGAAAAGATTGATGATTCTCTTGTTGGTTCTTCCTCTTGTCACTATCGCTCTTCTCTCCCTTATCAGGAGAGGGTTGCGGTAGTACTCGTTTACGAAAAGCAGATACATTTTGTGTTGGAAATAGTCGACGAACACTGTCGGGTTGGTTCTGATGATGGTCTGAGTGGTTTTTGACCAGTGTAGTCGAGTGAGCTCGTCGATTGATTTGAACCTGGGTACTTGAGTGATTTCATCCATGCTGGCATCGTACCAGTGGTGGATCGTACGGAAAATTTGCCTGTTGAGAGCTTCAAGGTGGTCCTGTTTTGTTTTCGGCAAGATTCGGTATATGTTCAGCAGCGACTGGTAGTGTGGTCTGACAAAGGCGTTGTACAGTCGGAATGCCACCGCCTCACTTAACATCCGGGTAGAGTTTAGATGCTTGAAGATGTTGATGTTTTTTCTTATTTTTGATTCAATGAACTTTAAATGTGACGAGAAAGAGAGTTTGCTGTCGAGCCAAGTTCCGAGATATTTGATTTCATTGCAATGTGTGATGACGTGCCCGCCGCAGTCGATATCAGGATCGAATTTCGGTGCTACTTGGCGATTGAACAAGATCCAGAGAGTTTTCTGAAAGTTGATCGGCTGTTTCCAAGTTTCCGCGTAGGCCATCACGGCTTTCATGACTTCTTTGATTTTTTCAATGAGGGTCGAAATAAGGATTTTTGAGGACCAGTGTGGTGATAGGGTAATCAATACCCCAAAATCATCGGCAAAGAGATGCTTGTGATGCACGAGTCAGAGTTAAGAGTGTGGTTGCTGTGTTAAATTCATGAAGAATTGATTGAGCCGTCTCTTGCTGAAAATCAGTCTTCAACACTGTAGACAAGAGATATTCTCCGTCAGTAGTTGGCGATCGTGTTCCAGTTTCATTCGAAGGGAAGAATTCGTTTGCATCAAAATTCATTGAGAAGTTGACGGCGGATGTCGAAGACATTGAATTTTGGTTTGCTGTTGATCTGTCAATGTGATGACTTTCGCCGTAGCCAATTGCTGGCATACGTCAACGAGCAACTCGGACATTGTAGACATGTAGGGAACGATCTGAGTTTCAATTGTCCATCGTAGTGCAGCTTGCTGTTCATGAACTGCATTGCACTTCTCCTCGAGTTGCGTGATTCGTCCGAGGAGAACCTCTTGAGAGCGTCCGATTTCTTCTTTCAGTGTATTGATGATGATTGAGGATTGATCGATTGCTTCTGAGGGACGATCGGTGGGCATTTTCCGTGTCTTCGTTACTGCATGCACATGAGGAGCCATCGTTTGAAGGACAGTCGAATACAGGCGAGCCGGAGAAGAGAGATAAGCGGATGACGGCTGTTGATTATTTTCTCTATTTTTCTCTTCTTGTTGCTGTCTCTTCTCTCGACGATATGCAATCTTCACTAGACATTCCGGTGAACCAGCCATGTGTCGGGTGTTGCAATTGGCGCATTCGAAAACATTTGCACAATCTGGATTGTATTGGTGATTTTCTCCGCACTTGAAGCGTTTTCGCTCATTGGAACAGTTGGCTGCTTTGTGACCGAACTGCTGACAGCGAAAGCATCGGTCGATTCGAGCCAGTGGTTTGTATGCAACGGCTGGATATCGTATGTTGTCGATAGAGATGTGCGAGCATTGGAGAATCTTCTGAAGATCGCCATGCGATCGAGAATCAACACGAATCCGGTTGGTCAGCTGTCCGCCACGAGAGATTCTTGCCACTTGAACATTCGACAGATATCGTTGAGCGATCAACGGTCTTATCGAATCGACGTGCCATTCACGAGGAACACGCTTGACCAAAACAGAATAGGACGTTGGAATTCGACTCGCTAGAGTGACTTTGAATGGCAATCCACAGATCGAAGTTGGCCATGAGCTGCTCTCGAATAAAATTTCATAGGTCGGCGAGTCGTTCGCAAATACAAGCAGCACGTGTCGAGATTGAGGATTAATTGAATACGAAGCGGTATTCACATTCAATCGACCATTGTGTTTCACTAGATCGTTGAGGACTTGGATTTCCATTGGTTTCTGTTGAGCTTCGAATTCCAATTTGAACGGCGGAAGACTCGCTCTCCTTCTTCTTCTGTCAGTATGTGCCAATGATTCACCGGGAGGCCTTTGCTGCTGCATTGAAGACGATTTCTGAGAGGCATCTTGACAAAAGATTGGCTTCGATCGTGTGTCATTGCCTCCGAAAGAGAAGTATGAGTGGATTCCATCAGTTTTCAAATTCTGAGGGACCGTCTGTCCAAAGAAAGTCGTAGCTGTCATTGGTGCATGGGTATTGGTTTTTTGGATCTTGTTCGATCGTTGGTTCATAACCGTTTGCCAGTTTTCATCACTCTCACTGGTTTCTCTGTCTGTCTCAACAGCCTCATCCATCTTCATCGCTGTAGTCGCGGTGGCATGCTGTCCGGTGGCATTCTTGTCAGTTTGTCTGACAGCCTTGACGATCATCTTGGATCTTTTCGATCCACTTTTCGAATAGGTGGGTGAAGGAGAGAGTTTCTCTGCTTTACCCATCTCCTGGAGGTTCCTCACTCAATAAATCGTTGGTTCAATCAACGAAGAGAGAAATTGATTTGAGAAGAGAAGATTGAATTGAAAAAACACAGCCGAAAATAAGCGCACAAAAGGAAAAGTGACGAATACATCTTAATCTATCAAAGGAAGCTTCATGCAAACCTGAGAACCAGTAGAGCTTCCTAGCATCTGATGCCCATGTGTTTCATGTGTTGACGTACTCATTGCCATCTGAACAATGCTGTCCAATTCATTGATTTCCATTGGCTTGTCACCATGATCTCTCGTAGATGTAATATCGTATTCCGCACGGAGAATTGCATCCTTGACATCGATCTTTGATCGTCTTCTAGCTTTGTATTCACGATTCTGTTGAAGGCGTTTCTCTCTTTCTGACAAGCTCTCTGTACTTCTTCTTTTACTAGTACGTTGACGATCTCGAAGGTGCCGTTTATCTTGCTTGTCCACTGTTTTGTTTCGTTGCAGATTTTCGGTAGAGTTTTTTTGTTGTCCTTGTTCGCTAGGATCAAGAACCTCTTCCTTGTCAGTCATGATCCTATTACTGTTCGAAGAGCTGCACGAAAAATAGATAATCAAGACAATTTGCTGATTGTTTCGTACATTTGATCGTTAGTCATGTTCGCGCCTTGCGGACATCCTTCCTATTTTGCAAAATTGCATTTAGTTTTCTTCGTAAGACCCTTTATTTCATAAAAGGGAATAAAGAAATAAACTTCGTTTTTCTTTCTTTTTGTTCGCATAGATTTCAGAAGATCCGATACAGATGTGTGCGGGTGGGTGAGGAGGAAGAAGAAGGGAGAGGGAGAGAGAAAGAGAAGTCAAAAGAAATCAAACTTTCATCATCATCATCATTCTTAGATAGGAACGGGTGTTCGGAGGATCGTTTGTTGTTCCCAAGCATGAAATTTCGATTTCAATGCATGACGCAGTTGAGCACGTTTCACTTCGATCTGCCTGTTCAGTGTGAAGAACCGCTGAAGATCATCGTCGGATATGAAAGAATGTTTTTCCATCAAATTGGGCGTATTCTCATCCTCGAAGAATTCAATTGAACCATTCATTCTTCTGTTCGATTTGGTTCCCTTACCCAGATTGATTTGAAATCCATGTTGAAGAAGGGATACTGATTGGATAACTGTAACTAGAAGAACGAGAACGAACGAGTTCATCGATTTGCCTCGATCACGTCGATGGGGACGAACTTTCAGTTTGTGCTTTCGATTGATATCGCACAATTCAATCGTATGTCGACCATCTGAATGATGCAACAGTTGTTCGCCTCCTCTCCCCGTTTTTCTTTCTTATCTGTCGATGAACGATAACCCTTACCCTCACCCTCTGGTTCGACATTCCCTTCTAACTCCTCGTTCCTTGTCAAATCACTGATTTCGAAACCGGCTCCGAAATGAGTTTATTTGTAAGAGAAAAGGTTTTTATTTGATTTTTCACTTGAGATGAGGAGAAAGTGGAGGAGAACAGAGAAGAACAGAGATATGTACGTGTCACTTCTGTGTGTGAATCAGGGGAATGAGCAGACATGCTTCTCCATCTCGCCGCCGCTATTTGAACGAAACGCACAGTCACTAAACTGGAACGTGCGTTCCGGTTCCTCCACAGATACTTCGGTCGGCAGAGTGATGATATCAAATGCTTCTGGAGGATCGCCGATGGCCATCTGTTCGACATCGTTCTTCTCCGCTTTGATCATGCACGGAGCAGCAGCTTCATCTTCGATGACATCGACGGTGCACACATCGGCGATGCTTAAATTCCAATCGTCATCGGGATCTTCCGTTTGCGGTTCATTCTCTGGTCGAAGATGATCGGTGCTATTTGACATCGTCGGTGTGATCAAACAATCCAGATGTTGATCGTATTCCAGATAGTAAACAATTCGACCGTTTAACATGTCATCTTCGGAGGTGCCGTGTACGGTCTTGTGATGACGTTTGACATGGCCTCGATATTGATATCCACGATAGCACGATGAACAGTAGAACGAATTCTTCCCATTGAAATTCGCATGGGCAGAGAATTTCGAATAGACAACGTTCGCTGGAGGCGATGAACGAAGAGAGTTCATTTGTTCGATCTGTTCTTGCGATAACTCGACCACTACCCATTTCTTATTCGAATGACGTTGTCCGGCGTGAAACTAAACGACATCAAGGGAGATTCGCTCTTGTTCGAGCGAGAAAAGAGAGAGAGATCGAGTACCGTGATTTTCCACTCATTCTCCGCTCGCTGACTACAGATTGAGCACATATACTTTTGCACGTTAAGATGCGTGGGGAAGGAGAGTTTCGATTTGCGCATGCTCAAAGTTCCAGCATGTGAAGGAAGCCCTCCAACAGACCCTTGATCCATCGGTTGCGGCTGATCGTTGATCTCTTTTCGAGATCTCGAAGAACTAAATGAAATCACCTAGACAAGGGTGCAAAAGGTCAACACGCAACGTACGCCTTATCTTCATTGTCATCGCCATCGACAGTTGGTTCCATGTTGATTGTGCTTGAATTGAACAATCTAGATCTCGTCGGCCAAACGATAATCGTTTTATAGTGGTCTGTCGTCCAGTGAATGCATGGATCTACTTTGACTATTTTTCTCCGAACGAAGACGGACGAAGAGAGAAGAGAGGGGAGGAATACAGAGAGAGAGAGAGAGAGAGAGAGAGAGAGGACGGGCGAACGAGAAAAGACACATGTACCTAGATATGTATACCATGCTGCAGTAGAAAGGCAGATGATATTTAACGACTAGACAAAGACTGCGCGTGACAGATTTTTCAATGGTGAAAGCACAGAGCTTTGAATACATTCAGATCATCTCTCTACCGAATATAAGCGATGATGCCGCGATATTTTACTATACTGCGGCTCTGATCTCCATGCCTCTGTAGAAATTCTTCATCCGCATCGGTCCAAAAAATCGATCGATGAAAACCTGATCAACGATTCCAGCACTCTCACTCTCTCTCCGTCTCCTCCCATGAATAGAACGATCATCATCAATGGAATGTCATCCAATCGTCTCTGACAGACATTCTTGCCCAAGGATTTCCGTCCGATGGTCTTTCAAAGATGAAGAAGATCATCAATTGAACATCGATCTCTGCTCATCAATGGTATCAGCGTCTCTGCAAATCGAGTTTTCTTCCACAAACGAATTTCTTCAAGCGACAAACTTGAGAATTGTCCATACACATTTCTACATTGAGAAAGAGAGACATCACAACAATGAGGAGATTCGCACGTTCTCTCCGTCAATGCTCCTTGAAAGATCCTTTCCGAATCGACTCATTCAACCGATCGAGATCATCGATGATTCGTTGGTGCCACTCATTCTTCATCTGTTGTTCAACACCATGTCCATTCCTTTCTTCTTGCCATCCTCCTCTTCCACTATGAGTGTGTCGAACAATCGTCCGATGAAAGGGAGTTAATCCACTCGCTGCAATCATTTTGAAGGCACTGATGTCTTGACCATCGATACAATCGTTGTAGAATTCTTCCAGATGATCTTCAATCGGTGTTCGGAAGATTTCCTTCGTCTCCTTCTCTTCGATCACCACCAACAATCGATCCGTTGATCGAGTCAGACCTTTCTTTTCCCCATCTCAACGACAACTTCCAGATCATCTCTTCGATCTGTTGACGAATTTTTCTTCTTTGGGAACAACTGAATCTTCACCTTGTTTGATCATCCATCGCAATTGTTCTCTTGACCAAGGCTCTTCAATCAGTAGTCTTTCTCGATGGCAATCAAACAATGCTTCCTCGCATTCTTGTCAATGTTCGACTTGTGCTGCGTTCGAAGCCAACGCTTCATCTCCTCCATCGTCTTTTTCTCTCAGTTCATTCGATCATATCGATCTACCATCGTGATGATGCCGTCGTTGACCCTCGTTGTCATCCTCGGCAGGTAATCGTGCAACGTGGCAAAAGTTGATGGGCGCCGAATGGAGGTCAAACAGAGACGCAGAGAGGAAGATAGATCGAAGACAATGCCAGGACCGAGCTCAGTGAAACTGTTCGCAGAGAAGTGAAAAATGTGTGCTTTCGACATTTCTCTTCTTGGTCGATGTTCGAATAGACAGAACCGAGGAGAAACCGACAATCGCATGGCGACACATCCCTCACTTTGATACGAAAAGTCATCGAATAGAAGAGAGAAAGCATTTGATCGACGGTGCAGAGAAATGGTCTCGCTCGATGTTCACCCTTCAGTCTCCATTCTCAACAAACGTTGGAGTGAAAGCCAAAAGCATTTGGACGGTGTTCTCTCCATATCGACACGGATAGACTAGTTGTTGACTCTTGTCTCTCCCTGTCTCTTTTGGCGCCTCCTTAAAGTCGGTCGTTCTCTCATCGATCTTTCTCTCATCAATCATTGATTGTTCATTGTTCGCTCTTCATTGTTCTCTCAGCCGGCGATGGCGAGCATTGATATATATATATATATATGCACGTCTGAATGAGCCAGTGAATCATTGATACACCTGCCCGAACTGTGATGATGATGAACATTGAAGCTAGCGCCCAGCACCGACTGAATCTGCTCGACTTGCCTAATGAACTCCTTCTGATCATCATCAAGTATCTTCCGATGATTGATGCCCTGTATTCGCTGGTGGGTATTACTCAACGACTCGATCGACTCGTCTTGAATCCCATCTCGACGAACACGCTCAACATTACTTGTCTCAGACCAGAACTGTTGCCTGATCGCATCTATTCTCTCGATGAAAGTGCATTTGCAACACTCTGTCGCACTGTTTTACCTCGCATCTATCATCAGATCAGCCACCTGATCGTTGATCAGTTCTCAATCGAATCTGTGTTTCACGCGACAGACTATTCTGAGCTGCATTCATTATCGTTGATCGAGATTGACAAAGTCGACGCTTTCCATCTCTTTCAAGGTAAGACAACGCTCGTCGATTGTCCTCGCCAAAAGAACGAAACAATCCACACACGCCTGGGTTTCTTCACATCAATGTCTCGTTGTAGATGACGGCGTTCTTCACAACCTTCTCCACCAACAAATCACCAGTCTGTACATCGACCTGACCTGCGAGTGCGCAGGTGAATCGTCGACAGAATACAACTCGAAGCTATTCCATTCGATACTCCAATCATGTCCACGCTTAACGAAGCTTCACTTCTGTCCCGGTACCTTTTCATGGGTTCATATGGTGGAATTCTCTCGACTGAACTGTCAGTCTGCTCTCCTGACCGATTTGAGCGTCTATACCACGTCGTTTGGCGAATGTGCTTATCTGTTCGATGGACATTTTCCATCCTTGTCAACAGTGACGATTGTGGTGCAAGAAATTGGATGTACGGCAGGTTGTCGAGTAAAAGCGGTGAGTATCATCCGTTGTCGAAAGAATGACGACACTCGAGAGATATGCTTGTTCTGTCTAGAAATGTTTGCGCAACTTAAAACGTTTCTCCTTGTCTTCGTATAAGCGGACATATTACTTTGATCATCTCATCGCTCCTTTGCTTCGGAGCATGATCAATCTGGAAGAATTGTCATTGTTTCTCGGTATTATCCGATGGGACTCGACGGGTTATCGCGATGGTGTGCAACTGCGTGACAGTGTTCTCCGACATATGCCACGAATGAAGAAATGTCACTTCAGCATTGAGACAACAATCGTCCAGAGCGACAGCGATCTCGTTCTCGTGTCCAACGACGAGATTCAGCGCAGTTTCATCGGAGGACCATTTGGATCAGTTGGCTCACATGTCGATATTTTCGCGAAAGCCGATGGCACTCGAACTCATGTGCGTTCGTTGTCACACGAGTTCTACAGTCGATGTCACATCTACTCCCGTCCCTACAGATTCGTCGATTTCTCGTATCTGTCCAACTCCTTCCAAGGTGGTCTTTTCGAAAGAGTCCACATTGTATGGTTAGTGGATGTTCGTCCATTCGAGCACGACTTCTTTCGACTCATCTCTCGAAGCTTTCCTTGTTTGAAGAAGTTACACATAACCAACGACGTGCCACAAACAAGCAAACAGCCTACAGATACACCAATCATCTTTCCTCGATTGCATCGCTTGGGTATCCATTCGTGCCATATGGACTATGCGAGGCAATTTCTCATCGATGAACATTGTCAACTGCCTCGTTTGCGTCATCTGCAAATCAGCTGGGAATTACTGACGTCGGTGACGAATGATTTCACCAACCCTGCAACTCGTCTCACCTGTAGTCGATTGAAGTTCCTTGGTATACGTAAAGAATTCCATCCTCCGAAGCATTTCCATGACTATTTTTCGTCGTTGTAAATGCTTCTGTTTCTGCTAATGAACATGATGGCAATAAAAGCGATGCAGATTAGAGAATGACTTTGTTTGTCCGCGGATCTCGGGATGGAAGAGCATGAACCATCGCAAGAGAAGAGGAGCAGGAGTTGATTAGCGTTTGACTGATATTCACTGTTTCAGGTGGCTTTGAATGATCACCAACTTGCCTGACAGATCGATTGAAGAACAATGGTAGGTAGACGATGACTGAGAGGAAGAAATGGTGCGTGGGCATATGGAACTGCGACTTGTTTGGATCGGAGATTGAGAAGCACGAAGATGATCTCATTGTGTTCCACACGGACCGAGCGGCATCGACACTCAGCGTCGATATCGACAAATGGTCCCTGGACATCGAATCTTTTTTCTCTCGCTTCGTGTTAAAACCAAACTCGTTTCTGATCACTTGAGCGATGTGAATATCGTCACCTCCAAGATAGACTCGATTGTAACTCATTCTTCGATCAAGAATGCATAGATGCTCAACGAACATAGGGAAATCAGTCATGTCTGGTAGATGGAGTGGTGCTCATATGGTGGAAGAGCGAAAGGAGAAATCTCGAACAGGAAACATCGATGAGGGTCAGAGTTTGGAGATTGTTCTTGCAGTTGTTCCTATGTCGACCTTTGGACAGTCAATCGGAGTGCCTACGTTGCAAACAGACCATCCAAATCTTCATCGAATATGGAGCATGAGCGAAAGGTTTGCTCAAGTCCGTTCAGAGAAGAGCTGACCAGTGAAACGATCGAGTGGATCTTGAAGAGTATCGTCAACATCTCGGTCTGACGCCAGCAATGGTTTCACATCCAACGTCAATCTCATCGAGTTGGCGCTGGATCGGTTGACATCGGATTTTGCTCGTTCAGGAGAGAAAGATTCGTCGAAAAGAAAATGAGAGAGAGACAACTGTTGAGTGGGCCATCGTGGAACTTGACTGATAGGAAGGCGTGCACCAAACTTCGAAACTTGATCGATGAATCAGAGGTTGAAAACGTTGTCGAAATGCATCGATCCGAGAACTATGATCGCGTGCCGAACAGAACAAGGATTGACCAACTCGCCCTACTCGCTCGATCAACAGTATCCATCACTTGCCGAGAAAGTTCGACTGATAGAAATCGACCATCGAGAAGTATCACTCTTGCAGATTGCTTGCTATCGGTGTACCAGTGACAACGATGACGACGACGTGTGTGAATCCGACTGAGAGTACAGGTGATGCGAGACGTAAGGGTTTTGACTACACGCACACACTCATGAGAATCAGTGTGAGGGCAACGCGTCAATTCTCATGCTTAAACTGACATCATGTGATCTTCAGCACAGAGAATCAGTTCGGGATCTGAAGTTTGGAGATATCGACTCTCATGCATCGAGAGATGGAGATTGTGGAGATGCAAGAGCAATGTTTCAGAATACTTCATGTTCGACAGTTTGATCAACGAAGACTCTCTCTCTCTCTCTCTCTCTTCGGTCCGATTCACGAATCATCACAGCCAGACATCGATCCATCGAATGTTCGTCTCATTCATCTGTTCAAGAAATTATTACCAACCCTCAGGGTCTGTACATCACCATCATCACCACCACCGCTGACTAGGCACACGGGAGTACTTGCCGAGAGTTTGTTCGTCCATTGATCAAACTCATTCTTCTAGCTGCAACGATCTGCATACCAACGTGTTCAGTGAGACATAACCATAACGCTCACTCGATCATCGTATCCAATGGGAGAGAGAATCAGTGCGCGTTTGAGGTCCCTCTAGTTCGAATATGTTGAAGGTGATGAATGTCTGCCCTAATCGCATACAGTCTGTGAGAATCGCCCCAGCACTGGCACTCCCATCCTGGTCCGTTCGCGCTTCGCTCATCGATGCTCTCCGTCACATGCACTGTCGACTGAAACACACTCGATTCCAGGGAAATCTCACCTCGTCGGCCAGTTGATGAACGACTCTTGACCAATGCTAGATGATTCGTTACTTTGATGAGATGTCACATGGACTATGAGTTGAACAGGAACGTCAACAGCAGGCCTATGCGTGTCGAAAGATGAGACTTGAGAAGTTTTGTTGAATTCGATTTCTAACTGTTGATTGTAAGCATCGATAAACTTGCTATTGTACTGTCGCTGATGTCGAAGTCGATCAAGGTCGAGATGATCGTTGTCTTCGCTTGACATGTTCCTGTCCAAGAAATCTTTGATGAATTGTCTGAATGTTTCATGAACATCTTCATCCGAAACGTCACCTCTAGACAAGGCAGTCTTTGTGCAAGTAGTGATCAATTCATCGAAGTGTTTCTACGTTTGAGAGGATCTCAAGACGATTCGACAATCACACTAGCCAAACACGTTCGAAATTCGAGCATTCCTTCAAACTCATTGATACTTTCCGTAATGCATGTTTTCCAATCTCATTCAGTGTTGTGCGGCGAAGTGGACAGATCATCTGGTCGGAAGGCTGTCCAGTGTGATTGTCACCTGAGCGAATGTGGCTGTGCCACGCTGTTTAGCTATTGACAACAACAATTATCTGCCTACTTTTGCAGATCGTCGAAATCTGAACGATTTCTCTCTTGTCGGTCGTTCACGATTTGTCGTACGTCAATGACTCTTTCTTCTATCTCATATCCTGGTCTGTTGATGCGATTGTCTCGTCATCGCTCAACGATCACGTTTCCTGTAAGGAAATGCTGTAGATCGATGCACGACCATTAACAAAGGGAAGTAGTAACCACGTGACCATGGATGACTGTGGAAGAAGTTGTTTTTCTATCCTAACTCTTGGCCTTCTAGTCTATGATAATCGAGGAGTATTTCTTGATCATTTCAGCAGAATAACCGATGGATTATTCCATATACTATTTATCGGGAATGACATCATGCATTTATTAGATAATGTCGGTGGAAAAATCCTTCCTCTCTATCCGCGTCTCGCATGTCAATGATCGAGTTATCCTGCATCAATCGTGATATGGCCTGACTCGAATATCATTCAAGTTGTAGTCGACATGTTGGTTTCTCTCGATTGCAATCTTTTGTATTGAGAGACAACACAATGAAATCAACACACCACATATCCACAGTTGCATCTTCTGGTGCTGATGAGGGTGGTGTCGAGGTGGATCGCACACCGGCCAGTCTCGTCTTGATCTCGCCTAACCATGGATCGATTCTCTCCGAGATCATTCGACGAGATCATTCCTCCAATGCCTTGGGAAAATCGCCGATGCACTGCTGAACTTCTTCTTCGCTCTGAGCAGCTTGAATCTGATTCCACCGTTCGTTGATCAGTTTCTGAAATTCACTAACGGCTCGGCCAGCTAACGGTCACCCTCGCATGTAGAGGGTTCGAAGTTTGTGTTAAGGGAAACTGAATATGCCACTTGAAAGGCCGTGATCGGTTGTCTTTACAACAGATGTCGCGAGCTCTCGAGCATTCGCTTGTCATTGGTTACTAGGTTCTGTTTGTTTTCGACTGGTTCTCTGTCAAAACAATTGATTGACCCCCCTCACATTAATTGTCCTTAAAAACATCGACAGGTGTGTCGAATTGAGCTGGATTTCATATCAATCGATAGAAAACACTTTGCTCTTTCAGAATATCCTCTTCAAACCATGTTTTGATCAACTCTGAAGCGAGATAATTCGCTCACAAACCATCCTCATTTTTAATGAAATTCCGTCACGAAACTGGCTTAGAACTTGTCTCGCGTGTTGAAATTGAATCTTCTCGAAACAAAAATGACGCATCTAGCTAGTCCTCGACGTACTCTATCGAATGCACTCTTTTCCTCTGTTAATTCCACCTAGTTCTCATGTCAGCATGTCAAAAATACACCGTTACGGAATTTCATAGATAACAAAAATCGCGGTATCTTATGACTATTAGACGTTTCCTGCTCTTTTTCTGCAGAAATAAATGAACCATCTTGACATATTCGGAGTCAGTATCGAATTCTGAATGAAATAGAGTGTTTAGTTCTCTGAAATTTCGACTTTCATTTTTCTCGAAAATTTCTCATGCTAGCGAAGTCAAAATTTGTTTTTCTTCGGATTTCAGTGAGGAAGACCGTCTCGCACACAGAACTTGACGCTGATTACGAAACTGCAATCGGTTTTCCATTTCTCATTTTGCAAACTGTGATTTTCGAGAAAAGTCGCAATTCCGTAACGACCGAAATTCCGTAACGCGAGATAATCTTGAATTTCCATCGAGAAAACTAGTAGTGCTTCAATGGCACTCACCATACTTGAATGGATCGAGGAAAACTGCAAACCTTTCTCATTGGAGATTCTTTCCTACAGCGCTTCATTTCAGAGGAATTGACGTAAATCGGACTGCGACTGGAAAGGAAGGCTTTTTTTGGAAATTCCGTAACGAGCAGTATTTTGTGCGCCAATGTGACTTTGCCTAATAGGCAAAGCATGAAACTTTTGTCGATGGTAGATCAGGTGAGGCTTGACAAACACGAGAAAATTTGGAGTGCTCAGCGTGTATTCCAGAGAAGATACTGTTCGGAGAATGCGAAAAAACGAAATTCCGTAACGGCTGGCCGAGCCGCCAAGCGATCTCTCGTTTGAATGGAATTTTTGAACTTCTGTCTCAAAAACGTATTGACGATATTCGCAATCAGAACGTTCTGCGTGCTCAAACGAACACAGCTATCTTGACAATTCGGGGATTAGTCGAACATGTTTTGCCTACTGATGATCCAGAGGTTTTGCGAGAAAGCATGGGATGCAATTACACTCTGAGTGAGGCCGAAGAACTAATTCAGGGTCTGAAGCGACTGATTCAATGCAGTGACTACGCCGAACAAATTCGACTTCTCACTTTGGCTCCTCGCAGCTGGGGTCGAGCCAAAGTCGAATCATTTTTCACCTGCTCAGAGCGTCAAGCTCGATATGGCGTTTATCTCCGCGATTCTGGTCGTATCTTACATCGTCCCGTTGATCTCCGAGGAAATTTACCATTCGATCCACAGATCGAAAAGAAGATTTTCGAGTTTTATCATGACGATATGATTAGCCGGGTGAGACTAAAACCTCCAAAAGTCTCTTCCCTAACTGCATCGTTCTCACTAGGTCTCACCAAATAAAAATGATGTGCTGAAAAGAAAGACTGATCCAAAGCCAATACGCTACATGTTGATGACTCTTTACGAGGCCTACCAGCAGTTTCTACAAAAGGATCCGACCATGCGTGTCGGTAAATCGAAGTTCTGCTCATTGAGACCGAAGTGGATCAAGACCATTACTCCCCATGACGGATGCGCATGTGTCTACCATCAAAATCCAACTCTGCTGATCACCGCATGGAATCGCATCAATCATGCGTCAGTCGATTTGAAAGGATTGATTAGTGAACTAGTGTGCAGTACATCTCTCCCGGAGTGCTATGGTGGAGAGTGCAACACTTGTGGTGATCGTTTACCATCGGATGTGTTGATGTTGAGTTTTAGTGGTGATGAAGAGGATGAAGTCACATGGATGCAATGGAAGAAGACAGAGAAAAGAGCCGACATCCAACGAATCTCAGGGTCCATCGCAAGTACATGGCGAAACATGTGTGATTCATGAGTTTCGCCAACTGTTTGTTTCTCTAGCTATGTTGGAATCCTTGAATGAACTCTGGCCTCAGTTTCTACTGCATCATTACACGACTATCCAACCGCGAGATTACATCAGACCGATTAAACATGCTTCTAGCGAGAACGGAGTGGCAGTGGTTCAATTAGACTTCGCAGAAAATTTCAGCTTGATCAGTCAGACTGAAATTCAGTCTGCTCATTGGACCCATCGCCAGGCCACAATTTTCACTGTTCATATCAAATTGGGAGCAGGACATCGCAATCTCGCCATCATCAGTAATTACATACAACATACGACGGAGTTCGTCTACTATGCCCAAAGTAAATGCTCGCTCCGATAGAGAGAAACAGGTTGTCTATGGGTTCTGCTAGGCATCATCACGACATTCATCAAAACAAAATATAAAAATGTCAAAGAGATCAATTACGTCAGCGACGGGGCGTCTGCACACTTTAAGAACAATAAGAACATGGTCAATCTTACCTTTCATTCCATGGATTTCGATCTACCCGCTAGCTGGACCTTTTCCGCTACTTCACACGGAAAGGGGCCTGTCGACGGTATTGGCGCTGCCGTTAAGTCGCGTGCCACTCGATATCTACTTGGTCTGCAGAAAGAAAGAGCTTTTCTTTCCCCGTGGGAGCTTTTCGACTTCGTCAATCGCGCGACTGATCATCAAAGGATGATCGGAGATCTTGAACCGACTCGACCGATCGATGTCTTCTACGCGGCGTCTGATGAGATCGAGAAGATCCACCTCAACGTCCTGTCAAATCGCTGGTCCATGTTGTCGAAACAGTGGATCAAAGGAATTCAACGGATGCATCAATTCAATTCCGCTCGAGCCTGGCACATTGAATCTCGTACGACATCATCATCGATACATTCGGAAGAGTTCGAGATCAATCGATAAACACGTTTTTCCGTTGACATTTTCCATAAGCGCATTTCTGCATTCGATCCTGACCTGCCATCTCGCGCTTATCTCCTTCCTTGTAAGATCAAAAGGATAAACGGTATACAAGAAGACTAGCCTGCTCACATCCGTGACTATCGATGTGGATACGATCCGCCATTCTTCTCTCCACACTCGTGATGTGTTCTTACTCATCTGGACCGAATTTCAGTTCATTTCGAGAGAGAAAAGGAGAGACATCGGAAGACCGATGTGCTCTAGTCCTATGGATTCGTCATCTCTATTTTTTCTTTTGCGCTCAAGTTGGAGAGGAGCTCATTAGCTACACGTTGTAGGGCAATGTCTCCTCTATCGAACCGTATATCGGGCGTGCTCTCAAGTATTTGTATACGGAATTGACGGAGGTCGACTTCTGCTAGCTGAAAGCGCTGAACAACGAATGATCGGCACAGCAGTTTCTGTACAGGCACTATCCTATCGTCAAATGAGATGATTTCCAGGTATTTGGCATATGCTGATCACAAAGGCACTATTGGAATCATACAGTCACCTAAGTTTGAAAAGCCGAGCGAAGAACAAAATTTTCGTCTATTTTCCATGATTTTTTGGGTGACCTCAGTGTAGAGAGATTTTCCGAGTGATAGCATGCCGATGGAGAAATGTCGCTGGCACGGAAAGTGATCAGAATTTCAAGCTCTACAATCTCCATGGGGTTCCAATTGAATCAGAGAACATGACTGTAAACGTGGTACAGACCCCATGGAACTACTCAGCTATGGAAACTTCCAAGATTCAAAGCGAATCGACTAGCTCATATACAAATAGAGTGTATAGAGCAGAGATGTTTCTTTTCTCTCAACGGGTGAGTATCACGGAAAAGAATGAGGTGAGGGTGAGATGGAGCCACCATAATGCTAACATTTTGCCTGTGCTAACAGGATCATCAGATGGTCACGTTTCAATTCACTCGAAAGCAAATGAAAACAGTGTTTGATCCTATACTGTTGCCACTCCATGGACAATGACAGAATCGAGGGTGAGTTTGTCATAGGAAGAGTTCGAAAGAAGAAAGCAAGACTGTTGAATCCGAAAAGGATTATCCGTCGTCGTCTCACCTGTACACAGACGACATATTGAAACTTCAAAGTTACTCGACTGCATCCACGGAATATGCTCAGTCCGACACGATAGATCAGACCAAAAGGATCACCTACACAGGACAGGACTCGAACCTGCATCTTCCAATGACCGGTTGTTTCAGATGCACTGTAAAAAAAAAGCTTCTATCTTAAGATCAACCGTCGACAATGATCCAAACACTCTCCTCGATCAGAGTAGGTGAAACCCACATCTCTTTCTTTCTCCAAGTGAATCTCTTCTTCCTTTAGATCGATCGTCGACAATGATCCGAACAGACTCCTCCATCGAAAGTGAGCGGAATCATCTTCTTTTTCTTTTCTAGCTAAATCGTCGAGGATGATCTGAAGACTCTCCTTGAGAAAACTGAGTGCGATTCACTTCTCGGTCTCCCAATGAGTGTTTTCCTTTTCTAGATCTATCCTTGACGATGATCCAAAGACTCTCTATCGATCGAAAGTGAGTGAAATCCACTTCTGTTTCTGTCTCCGAATCAATCTCTCCTTTCTCTAGATCCATCATCGACAATGATCCGAACACTCTCGTCGACCGAAGGTCACTGGAATTCACTTCCGTTTCTTCAAATTAATTTTTTCGTTTCCTAGATGCCTCCTCAACGATGATCTAAACAGTGTCGTGGATCGAAAGTGAGTGGACTTTACTGCACTCTTGCGAAGGAATATCCTTTTCTTTTCCAGATCCATGGTTGATCATTATTGGGAGATTGTGGTGCATAGAAAGAAAGATGAGATCGCTGCATGGTTTGGCAATACCTAGTACATGCTCATTGACGTTGAAGGTTCGATCCACGGCAAATATAAGTGAGTGATGTAATATCTTACGAACTATTTTGCTGAGTTAGAGACAAAGTGCCATCAAAAGAGCTAATAATTGCGCGAAGTGTATGATAAGTACGAGGTGATTGAGCGGTCTCTCGCGTTTCGGTGCTCTGAGTAACGAAAAGCACACGAAACGGGAGATTTCGAGATGGTTCTTCATTGACAAAAACGGTTGGAATGGGTTTAAGCATTTGCAACTGATAGCAAACCCTAAAAGGGTATAAGGGACTAAAAAACGATATAAAAAACGGTGGGAAAAACCTTTTGTGGTCGGCTCTAGAATACATCAGAGAACGTATTTGCAGAGGTTTTTTCGGTAATGAATAAACGCGGACAAGGGTCGTGAGTGGTTGCACTCTCTTACACGTTTTTTTCGTTCTTTACACTATCTGTTTTTTAGAGTGTACTCTGTCGATGCGACAGAACACACACGAATCATCCTTGGTTTTTCTTGTGTCCTCTTTCGCCTCGCCAGGCAATACGTCTGCTTGCTCAAATCATCCATCGATTTATCATCCACCATGCCTTGTAAACAAACAAAGGAAAGCAATCGACTGTGACATAGAGAGAGAGAGAGAGAGAGAAAGGGGTATTGGTAAATGGATATGCCCAAGAGCTGAATATGTATATAAGCACCCAGTCCGATCAGCAAGATCACTGCATAAGATGGTGATACTCTTCAACAGATAGAGTGAAGCATATCTGCCATTCTTGTGACAGTCGTCGAACAACACTTTGTGAGTGACTGAATCAGTTCTCGTTGTCGTTCGATTCCCTTTTGTTTCAGAGGAAGATGATCACCATGTTCTTCTCGCTTCTCTCAGACATGCTTCAGTAGTGACAATGGAGAGGGTAACACGGACTGTTGAGAAAAGGGAATGAGTATGTCTCTTCCAGATGAACGACCATTGTGTGCTTATCTGCACTGAGCTCTCTCCTCCTCCTCATTCTCTTTCAGATTGACTGACGCTTAGTCAAGGACTCTCGACCCGCATCTGTCAATGCTCTTCTTCAAGGCACTCATAGTCGCCACACTTTCTCTTGCAGCAACTGTTGCTGAAACACAAGAAGAGTGTTATCAATACACCGCTGGCGTTTATCTCCAACGATTTCTTAAATCAGACAACACTTCGCTGCATCTTGGTCTGATTTTGTTTTCCCCAGACGGAACTGCACTCCAGACCGACTCATTAGCAAAGAAAAGCGATGATGTTCGCTTTAGCGATGTGTCTGGATTCTATGACTGCAAGAAGTTCCGAGGATCACAAGTCAGAATATTGTCACCCACTGGATTTCTTTTTCAAAATAGGGGAGGAAACATAACTATCAATCTTATCAACTCATCGATGAACTGTCATGGTGCCATTGATGATTGCACAGACAACAGAGTGACATGTAACCAAGGCCGAAGGCAAAGCCAAGGATACCCGTTGGCCTTACCCAATGAAGATAGCGGAGTTTTCGAAGATCCGATCCCCGGCACGCTAGATTACCGGCGGTTTGAGCTTCTTCGTCTCTACGCGCATCCGAGGGTAACCAATCTTCCCTATGATCGCTGTTACCAAAGTCTGCGTGGCGTCGTCATCTATCAAGTTGACGATGGCAACTACTTTATCACAGCATTCACGAGCTCGGGCTACATATTTGGAGTTGATTCGGCACAACGTCGTGCTGATGGCACTTTCGACCATGGAACATTCTTCGGTAAGTGAAACAGTCATCTTCGAGGCTTCAGAACAGGAACGAAGACGACGTTGATCTTGTTCTCATCTAGGCACGTGGTACTGCACCAATCAAAGATCGGTTGCTGGACAATTTCACTACTTCACTTATGGCAACCAGAGCATTGAGCAGACCATCGTTGAAGGCTCATACCATCAACAATACACGAACGAAGAGTATGAACTCAGTCGTGGAGCAGGCGACTTCGTGCCATATCCACTTCAGTATCAACGGTTGCCGTTGAAGAACATTCGATATCGGGAAAAATCCAGCGTTGAGTTCACTAGTCGTCGTCTGTTCAAAGGACCAACAGTGAAGACATGTCATGCAACATTCGCGGGTGTCTATGCAATTGAGTCGCTGTCAGCGTCTAGCGGAAAGAGTTACAGTTTCAATACTCTATTCAGTGATGGAACCGTTGTTGTCTTGATTGGACGCAGCGACGATTCGGCTATCACCGGAGTCGGTGTTTGGGACTGCACTCCTCAGGGTCGTTTGTCAATCAAACGGATTGTATTGGTCAACAGCATCGATCCAACTCGTACAGAACCGTTCGCGTATGGTGAAGCGAAACTCTCATGTCGAGACAATGGCAACGAATGCTCCGGTCCGCAAGCAATTTATGTGGTACGCAAAAGGGAACTACCGAACAAACGAGGCATGTTTCCATCGGCTTACAATTATGAAAACGAGACAATAACAGCAATAAAACTGAGACCCATCATGCCTTAGATCTTCATCCAGCCAAATGGTTGAAGTATGCATGTGGCACAGACATAGACGAACACATTTTTAGATAGAAATAGATGTTTGTTTTAGTTTTCACTTATTCTAGCACTTGACCAAACTCTAGTTCACATTAGACTTTCAACACTTTTGCAAGATTTCTTCAAATTTGAGGGTGAGTTATCAAACAGTAATCGCTACGACGCGTTTCGGCCCTTCACAGGATCCTCGTCAGGTGGTTCAGTGATCGGCATAAGAGAAAGATTACAATAATAATAAATCGAAAGAAAATCTTCCAATGTTATCATCATAGAAAATTCTCAAATCAGCAGATAATTCTTTTCATCCGAAGGTGATTTTCAAATGAGAAGAAATACCACGAGGCGTTTCGGCTCTTCGGAGACTCCTCATCAGATGGTTTTCGGAATTATTGCATTTGTATTCTGGGTAGAGACTCGAAAAGAATACGAACCGCTCACAATGTCAATAAGAGACACTAGAAGCAATTATTTCCGAGTTATCTGTGATGAGCAATTCAAGAGAATCAACGACGACGCATTTCTTTTGAATGTGGTTAGCGTTGTATTGCATGTTGAGGTTTGTCAGTGTTGTGATGCGCGGAAGTGATGTTTGTCGGAACCACTCTGTCGTTTGTGTGATCTGAAGTTGAAAAGCATCGAGGTTCATTTCAAGGGAAAGGAACAAAGTTCAGCGTTGTGCATGCATGGAGGTTGTTAGAATCGGAAGACGTGAATGTATGTGCAGGATATGTTTTTTTTAGCATTCAGCTCAATAGGGAAAATGTTTTGATGTTCGACTGATGTCATTTGGGTGATATCTCATGGTTACACCTCAGGATTTGAGGACGAGGGTTCTTTCTGACGAGAACTTTGTTCAGTGTCAGGTGGGGTTTTATCTGGAGACACAGGTAGATTCCATTCATCGGTGATCCAGGATATTGATAGTTTTGTATCCATGATTTCGAGAGCTCGTCTTTGAGTACCATTATGTTAGTTCGTTCGAATGTGATCGGAGTACCTTTGGCAAATGAGACGAAGATGCAATGCATCATAGAGTGTTGATTCTAGCTCTTGGAGCAGCATCGATGCATTGTTGTGCTGTAGAAACTTTCTCATATGATAAGAGACAAACTGAGGTGGATAACCATTGAGCAACAGCATCGTTTCAAGATTCAATCTTTCCTCATCGAAGTCTTCGAATTTGGAACATAGGCGGATTGCTCAATAGAGACCACCGATGATGCTATTCCGATGAATATGGCGGGGATGATCGGACGCAAAGGGCACGATATATGGCTCTGCTGCTGGTTTGTGATGCACTGTTGTTCTCAATCTTCCTTGATTACTCTCAATGGAGACATCGAGAAAATCAATTTTTAAACCCATTGATCGAGTAATCCGAATGTTCTCGTCTCTTCCATCAGCTTCGTCAAGTAGCTGATTGATTCAATCTAATGATAAGTTCGATGTCATAAATACATCATCGATATATCGACCATAGAGCTCATTGTGACGTTTTTGATTTCCAATCAATCGTTGTTTCCATTTCAGCATATAGATATTGGCCAGCGTCATGGCAAATGGTGATCCCACCGCTCCACCTCGAATCTGCTGATAATACTTGTTTTCATAGACGAAACAATTGGTATCCAACACTGAACTAGTCATATTCATCAGAGTATCAATTGTCATGCCATGGATAAGACCATTCTGAGCATATTTGCATAGAAATTCTTCTAAAACGATTAGAGCACCATCTCGAGGGATCATGGTGTATAGAGCAGCGACATCGAATGTAACAAAAGTGGTCGTTGGTGTCAGATATCCGAGATCTTGATGCAGTTCAAGTCGACGAACGAGATTAATTCCATTGACGAAGGTCGTCTGCCGAGCTACTCGATCAAAGATCGGACAGAGCACTTGATCTAAGAAATGGGAGACACCAGTTGACGCTGCTCGCATCGATGACGCGATCGGTCGAAGTGGTGTCCCGATCTAAAGATTCAAGCAGATAGTTTTCATTCTATCTATCGGTCGATTCAAACTATTCTGACTTGGTGTGGCTTTGGAATGAAATAAAGATGTGCCAATTCTATCCTATCAGCATTTGGGTATGTTACAGGCATCTCCCCATCTGCCTGTACATTCCTTCACGGTCGATATCTGCTGATTCTCATCGCATTCTTCCCCTCTTTCTATCGCATTGTTTCTTCTTCGTTTTGTCCGATTCATTCGAATAGAGAAAGAATAAACGAAGGGACCTCTCACATTTGGTGCCGTGACCCGTTCGCTCTTTTGCTCATTCGCACATCGGTCATCGTTCATCCTTCGCCCTATTTCCGTCGTCTTCTCTGTTATCGCTTCTGCTCGTCTCACTTTCTCTATCGTTCGCCACGGATTCCTCACGTCCAGTACGACAGTTACGCAGTAATTCGGATCCGCGTGATTTCCTTCCCCACGATATAATCACTTACGGCTCAAATACATCAGCCACCGTTTCACAACCAACTTCTGAACTATCTGCGTCTTCATTCTCGGCTCTAACCATGTCAGTGCCTTCGCCTTTCGCATCGCTTCAACAAACTGCGATGAAAGAACTTTCGAAATTCACCGGGGAACCTGACCAAAAAGTGACTCAGTTTGTTGATGCTATCGAACATATCGGCAGTTTCACTGAATGGACCGAACCCGCCTTGCATACACTTGCCACTATTAAATTAGGTGGATTGGCTTTCAACTGGTACAATAACAACAAGGATACCTTACGTACTTGGCCTTTCTTGAAGGCTAACCTGTTAGAACGTTTCCAACCGTCTATATCGGTTACCAAGACTCGCTTGAAAACGCGTCGTCAACAAACAGACGAATCGCTCTCCGCCTTCTACGACGATATTATCGAGTTATGTAAACAGGTGGATAAGGACATGCCAATCTATATGATTGTCGACTACCTACAGGATGGCGTTCGGGACGATTTGAAGGTGCATATTAAACGTCGTATGGCAACCATGCCGGATGCACCATCACCGGCCCTATTCCTGAAAATCGCCCGTGCCGAAGACGAATTACAAAAGGACGTCTCTTCGGTTGCACCTCCCTCGTTGTTCTCGCAGCCTTATTTCGGTCACGTTGCCGTCGCTACTAATACCTCCACGGCAGTTCCTCATCATTATCATGCTCCGACTACGTCTACACCCGCTCCTAGGGCACCATTTCGCAATACCCCCCCTAACTCGGCTCCACGGTACCGACCCTGTTTAATCTGCAACAAAACGAATCATCGTACCATTGACTGCTCCGGCAAACAACCGAGTGGCTGTTTCAAGTGTGGTGATCCTACTCATGTGATCCGCGCTTGTCCACAGGTTTTCCAATAACTGGGAATCATGATGGCGGATTTCCCAGTTCCTCACAGCCATCCTCTCCTTCGCTTTCGTCTCCATTTTATATTCGTGCTCATGTCAATCAAACCTATACGATGGCGATCCTGGATACTGGCTCGAGTATTACCATTATCAATCGTCTTTTTCTTCAAACAATTTCTCATCAGTCTTTTAAACCGCTTCGTCGCTCTTTTTCTTCCGCTAATTGTACTCACATTGAAATCATCGGAGAGGTACTTCTGGAAATAAAACTCAATAATATCTCTACTTACATCACAGCGTTTGTCGCCTCGCAGCTCATCACCAACCTTCTTCTGGGTGCCGACTGGATTGATCGTTACGTTATGTCGATTCACCTGCCCAACAAAACGTTACTCGTTCAAGATGCGTCTGGTGGTTCAACGACCGTTCCGATTGTCCGACCTCCTGATCCTTCATGTTCATCGGTCACTCTTATTCATGCCACTACCGTTCCACCGCATTCTGAATCCGTCGTCGACATCAACGTCCCTGTCTCCGAATGCCTGGATATATTATTTGAACCTTCCTCTACGTTTGATCGAAAACCGATCTCTCTGTCACCGGCTCTTCTTCGCGTCTCCCGAAACCGTTCTCAACTAATTGTTCGGAATCCCACGCCTCGCACTTATACACTATCGAAAAACACTCGTCTTGGCGTTGCTTCGCCGCATCAGCTAATTTGTGGCACCTCTCTCTGTTCGACTCCTCAGTCGCCTCCGCCAACGTCTTCTGCTCTGCATCGATGCTACGTCTGTAGCCACGATTTCCTCTCGAGTAACGATCTTCATCGCCATCTTCGTGAACACATCGAAACGCTGACTCACCATCTTACGGACTCCTCTGCTCGCACGCAAGTACAAACAGTCCTTTGGAAACATGCCAAACTCTTCGACACCACCGCCCCATCCAAAATAAATTTTACTCTCGAAAATGCCATCGATACTGGTGATCATCGACCCGTATACACTGCTCCGTATCGTCGCTCACCTGCTGATCATCAGGCCATCGATGCCGAAACCGCCATGCTATCACGCCAGGACTGTATCGAACCGTCCACATCCCCGTGGTGCTCGCCGGTCGTTTTGGTTCGCAAGAAAGATGGGA